AAAAAAAAAAAAAAAAAAAAAAAAAAAAAAAAAAAAAAAAAAAAAAAAAAAGACACAATACTAAATTACTTATAAACTATTTTTCTAAATTACTAAATTACTTTAGATCATGATTTATAATATATACTTTATGAATTATATATAAATATTAACATTTTAATATTTAGACCTAATTTTAGACTTTTAAAATTATATAATAGAAACTAATGAGAAATATACAACTACTTATAAAGTTATATGGTAAAAAAGAGATTTGTAAAATTATTGCATTTTTTAAATCAAACTAAAAAAAAAAAGTACTCAAAACTTTTAATATTATTTTCAAAATTTAAAATTTCATGTATATTCAAATATTTTTAAAAAGGTTTAAAAAGTGTTTTTAAGTTTTCAAAATCTTCATTAAAATACTTTAGACTTTCATAAAAACTTAAAAAATATATTTAGACCTCTCGTTTTTAAAAATTCAAAAAATATTTTTATGATCAAATATACCTATGAAATGTGAAATTTTAAAAAAAATATTAAAAAATTTGGGGATAATTTGTAAGATGATGATAGATAGTTTTCATTCATAACTAACACTAAGATTTTTTTTTTTTTTTTAATTTCAGATGTAATTTTTAAACATAATTCTAGCAGTAAAGATATTTATGAACTGTTTTAAGGTTGAAAAGTATTAATAAAACTTTTAAATTTAAAGTGTATCTATAAAACAAATATTTATCGCTGGTATCTAAAACTAACCATAAGGGTATTTTTTAATTTTTTTTTTAAAGCTTAGGGGCATTATTGAAATTTTTGAAAATTTAGGGCTATAATACTAAGTATAATGTTTTTTTTATTAATTTAGCCAAAAATAAAATTAATTATGTGGACCGGTAGATTAGATGGTGGAGATGAAAATTTCTAAAAGTGGAATAAATACAATCTATACGTAAATTTGTAGATTCAAGTCATATTGAGTATCCATCTAAGATTGAATATTTCACGAGTAACATTGATAATCAAAGCTTATATAAAGCGGTTTTTAAGGTGGGTTTAGAGAAAGTAGAAGTAGAAATCTCACTCTTGACCAGCCAAGTAGGTGCATAAAACCATGAAAGACATTATGAAAGGAAAGAAAGAGCTTCCAACAATAGAATGGTACAAAATAATCATCTTTTAGGTATCAGGGTGATAGTGGTAGGTTTGAGGATCTTAAGAGACAGAGTGAACTCCTTTATCGTCTAGCATTTCCTCTGACATCCAACATCAACTCACGATTAAAATGATACTTAAAAAAGAAATAATAGAACCATTCTCGATATGATTCGGTCTCTTTTATTTTCTTTCTTATCCCTCTCTGTTGAGCGGCTTTGCCCCAATTCTGAACCTCTCTAACAATGTCTGTTTTGCAATTTTATTGCTTTGTGTTGGAGTCTCACATTAACTGATTAAATGAAAGATCATACATATTAAGTAACTTACATTATCTCTATTGGTACGAGACTTTTTCAAAAAACTAACGGCTCATAACGATGAAAACTTATGCTCAAAGTGAACAATATTATACTATCGTGGAAATTTGTTGTTCCTATCAGATAGAAACCAAATTTGCTGATGGTTTATAGTTCAGAACCATAAACATCATATAAAGCTGGAACATAATGAATAAATCTATTGTTTTTTAGGCCGCTAAGTTGCATATTTTTATATTATTCATCTAGTATAGAGAACCTATATTGATCGTGTGATGTCCCACATTGGTTGGGAGGAGAGCAAAACACTTGAGGGTGTGGAAATCTTCCCCTAGCAGACGGATTTTAAAGCTTTGAGAGGAAGTCTAAAAGGGAAAACCCAAAGAGAACAATATTTGCTAGCGGTGGGCCTGGGCCGTTGCAGATCGTCAATAGTCACTCTAGAAACTATGAGATCTCACCTCGGTTGGTGAGGGGAACAAAACATTTCTTGTAAAAGTGTGAAACCTCTCTCTAGTAGATGTATTCTAAAACCTCTCTCTAGTAGATGTGTTCTAAAACCTTGAGAGGAAGCTGATAATGGAAAACCCAAAGAGAATAATATCTTATCTGCTGGTGGATCCTAAGGGGTGAATGGTGAGTCTCACCTCGGTTGGAAAGGGGAACAAAACATTCTTTATAAGGGTGTGGAAACTTATCCCTAATACACGCGTTTTAAAACTTTGAGGCTGACGGTGTTACGTTACGTAACAAACTTAAACCGACGATATCTACTAGCTGTGGTCTCGGTCTGTTACATCGAATACCCAACCCTCAACAGGGCCGTAGTCGCCCCTCTACATCTCACATGATCAGAAGGGTGTTCTGATGGAAGGTTAAAGTGGGCAAGAATCATGATTAGAAAGGAAGAATACAATCCGGATGGTAAAGATGAGAACATGAAAGCTACTGATCCTTACAAACAGTACAAATTATAACTCGGTCTTCATCAAGCATGGCGGAGGAGACTTTAATGGTGGGAATCGCCACAGCAGCGGAGGCATTGGTCGGAGTAATGGGGTTGAAGAGCATAGATCGGCGAGCTGTGGAAGAGGCGGAGGAATTGGAGGATGTTGAGGTAGTAATTGTGATTGGTGTTGAGTATTGTTGAGAGAGGAGTCCCGACTAATTAATCAATTATGGATTTATAAGTAAGAAATACTATTTTATTGGAACGAAGCATTTTGGGAAAACTAAAAGCAAAATCATGATAGTTTATACTCAAAGTGAATATATCATACCCATGTCAATATAATCTTCAAATGTCTAACAAAGAAATTATGAGTCTCAAAAGTGTAGTAAAAAATGACTTAAGTGTCGAATAAATTGTGTACTTTGTTCGAGAGTTCCAGTGAAGGAATCGAGGCTCGATTAAGGGTAGACTGTTCGAGAGCTTCATAGATCTTAGAAGAAACTTTATAGTGTATTTTATACACGTTATAAAGAGGAATTTACTTTAGGTAGAGAAAGAATAAAATGTTTACTACTAGAAGAAAAATAAAAAGAAAAGGAGAAGAAGAAGCTAATTACATTAATAATTAGAAAAAGTATGGTTAGACGACAACAAGGCGACAAATTAAACTTCCCAATACACAATCACTCAAACCTGTCGCGCCACCGTCCAACGGCGGTTCGTCGATCCGATCACCGGCTCAACAGAGGAAACCACCGTTCTTGGAAGTAGGATTGGTACGAGATCATGAAAAGGAGAAGAACCAACAAGAACCCGACGCCCCACGGCATCCCACCGGCGCGGTGGAGCGAGTCTTTTTCAGGTAAAAGAGAGTTTCCAGCGTTGGAGAGCCAGTGGACGAGGAGGAGGAGGAGGAGCGGCAAGACGATGAGAAGAAGCTTGAGCTGATCGAAGATGCCTTCGACAACCGACTCGTAATTGAGGTACCAAGAGTAGGACAAGAACATGAGGAGGATGAGGAAGAAGAAGCAGAGATGAAGAGGGAAGGTGGGCTGAGAGTGGGAATTTGCGGCGGAGGAGCCTCCGTTGGCAGCCATGGACGGCGGTTTGAGAGCTTTTTTAGGAGATTTAAGGACTGGTTTTTAGTTATATGGAGCTTTTATATATACACACACATACATATAAACCATGACTGACTCATAAAGCTACTTCACTTCAAAATCTCAAATATAAAGATTAATTAAGAACCTTAATGAATAAGCATATAGGAACTGAACAACAACAAGAAGAAAAAAGTGTTGAAAAAGCTAAACTAAAAGACCCCACCAAAAAGAGATCATGATAGAATGATATTCAAAATCTCAAATTGATATCAAAAATTTTGTTCATAGCTTAAAAAAAAATATTTATAAACTTTTAATTGCCTGAAATATTCCATAAATCTTCAAATTTTTTTATTTTATTTCCCAAGTCATTGATCTATTTATGACATTCTATCCATAAAATTTCAATTAGTTTAGAATTTTCTAATTTTTTTTTTATTTAGTAGATTTGTTAATTTTTAAAAAATTTAAATATAAAATTAAAATTTTTAAAATTCAGTTACATAATTTTAAAAATTTAGATATCTATTGGGCCATATGGGGGCGGATAATGACTAATTGGGCTTTGTTAAGCGATAGCATATTGGGCTTTGATAATACTATGGATTGTGAGGCCCAAGAGGAGGGAGATGGTTATCGATAATATTTGACTAAATTAATAAAAATACCTAAAAATTTTCAAAAATTTCAATTAAATAAATTTAAAAATAATTTTATTAAGAAAATGTTGTATAACTAAACTAACACATTTATAAATTCGAGCGAATATATGTAATTATTAAAATATAAAGTATGAGATTAATGAGGTAAGATTAAAATGTTTCATATGTCACTATTACGTACATAGGCAGCGTGTGAAAGCTAAACCATTTGTTTATCTAAGCTATAGTGGGTTTGGTGAAGGATTCCCCCACCACTATCCTCCTCTTCCTCAAATTGTGACACGTGTCCTTAAAAAAAAACATATTTTCATTTTTTTATATATCTCTAAATTTCATATCTTAAATTATATTAAGTTAATTTCAAAATCATTGCATTATTTAAAACAATATATAGAAATTTAATGGTAATAATAAAAGTATTATTTTTGTAAAATTAAATATTTTTTTTTAAAAATAATAGCCTAATTTTGGAAGGTAGTTGTGTTTAAATACACAAAGACCTCTCTAGAATAAAAAATAAAATAAATAATAATAATAATAAGAATAAAAGAAATCCCACCAAATTTCTCCCTTTCCACTCACATCTTCCACGCATAAAAGGAAGTGGAAACCCATAAACTCTCTTCATCATTGCCTTCTTCAATTCACAGAAAATGGGCTTTCATTTTGGTTGCAAATGGCTTTTGTTAACACTCCTGTTAGCCTCACCGGCGGTGAGCTTTATAGCAGGAGATGCAGAGAAAGACAGGGAGGAGTGCACGCAGCAATTGGCTGGAATGGCGACGTGTCTAGCGTACGTGAGCGGTGACGCAAAGGCTCCAACGCCGGACTGTTGCAGTGGGCTGAAGGGCGTGCTTAAAAGCAACAAGAAATGCTTGTGCGTTATAGTGAAAGACCGAAATGACCCTGACTTGGGGCTTCAGATTAATGTCACCCTTGCCTTGGGCCTGCCTGATGTCTGCCACGCCCCTGCCAATGTCTCAACTTGTCCTGGTAACTACTCCGTGTTCTTCGCGTTCTTCATGTTCTTCGTGTTCTTCGTGTTCTTTTTTTAAATGGGGTTGTTGCAGCTCTCTTAAACTTGCCACCCAGTTCACCGGAGGCTCAAGTTTTCTATCAATTTGGCAAGGCGCAAAGCTCCTCTGCTGCTGCAGCTCCCATAAGTCCTTCTCCTGCCATTAACTCCACTGGTAATTTGATGATCAATTTTCTACAATTTTTTTTTTTTTTTTTTTTTTTTTTTTTAGTTTGGAAAGCAAAATTAAGGTGTTGTTCTTTAAAATTGCAGGTGGAGGAGGCAGTAGAAATGGAACAGATAAGGGTGAAGCTTACACCGTTGGAAACAAATGGCTGCCATTGAAGACTTTGTTTGTTGGAGCTCTTTTGGTTTTGTTTTTGTTGGATTCTTGTCGTGTTTAGACGAACTGTTTTGAGTATATTATTGTGTTATGTTCGAATATTAGTATTGTAATTTGTGTTTTTAAACGGTTCTGTTTTACACGAGAGTGGAGTTAGAGATGGAATTTATGTTCTGACAATAATGTAACTAACATTTACGTGACAATAACAATAAAATTTGTTTGAAAAGATGGAGAACTCGTGATGCTTGACGACGTACAAACTCGTTAGAGTGTTAGAAAAAATTATTGAAATTGTGAGACTTAGTAAATCTTACACCCCGTGATGCAAGAAAATATATCTATGTCGTAAATTAGGGTTGAGTAAGATCATATGAACAGAGAGAATATTGGGTTCGGGTCTCTTGTGAGGTAGACCCTCGGGTCGGCCTCTTGTTCAAGGAACTTGGGTTTGACCCAGTTTCGTTTTTACTTTCGTGTTTGGTGGTTCGGTTTCTTTTATATCACGATTTAGTTTAATTTGTATGACTTTTAATTTTTTATATTTAGTTTTTCAATTTTTCCTTGTCTTGTAATCATACTTTGTTTTTGTTTTTTTTTTTAATATTAAATTACAATTTTAATTCCTGGTACAATTTTATATATAGATATAAAATTTAAAATTGAAAATATTCTTAAACATAAAATTAATTTTAAAAATTACACAAAATTCAAATACAAGTATGATAGCATTAATAAATGATGTCAATCCTAAAATTTATTGGATGCCGTCTTCAAAATATTTATTATTTTTGTAAAAATAAATATCTCACATGTCGTTTTTTAAAAATAAATTTTTATCACATATTTTTGTGATTGGACCTATCATTTTCTTTAAAATAAATGTCTAAAGTATTAGTTTCTTTTCTTTTTAAATAAATTTATATCACGTGATGAATTATCTTTCTAAAATGACTAATACACACATTTTTTTATTATTAAAATTTTTAAATAAAAGATTTAAACATTTAATTTTTTTTTGGACAAATATTATTTTTTTGTTATTATTATTATTATTTTTTGTCAGAAAAAAAAGATATTATGACTTATCAACCATCGTGAGAAGAAGTAAAATCGATATCAACAGTAAAAATAAATATAACTTAGCAATAATTTACCTATTTTATATATGATATATTATAAAATCATCCACTAGATATGCTTTAAATAAAAAAAAAAAAAATAGTGTTAAAGAAATTAGAGTATTTTTGTCGTACTAAATTTATAAATAAATTATTAATTGAAGAATTTTTGTTCCTAAATTAGAACATTATTTAAAAAATTAGTTTAAGGAATAATTTGTCGTGTTTTGGAGGCGCGTTCTTCCAATTCCGTGGTCCAAGGAACCCGCCATCCTCTGTTGAAGAGATTAGATGAATCCCAATTTTCGGAACCATTAAATATGAAAATGATTCCTCGCCGCAAATGTTAGTGATAACGGAAGATCAAAGCCACCACGATGGTGCCACGATGGACCAGTCCCAATCTCAGCTCAAGGCTCAAGACTTTCAAAGCCACAAATGAAGATTTGTAATGGATTTAACCTGTTTCAGTTTCTGATGAACACCACATCATCAAAGCTCTTCCACGCGTCTCGGCGGACAGTGGGAGCGGAAGAGGAAGAAGTGTGATGACGGTATGAGAACTCTCCTTTTCTTTTTTGGCTTTGATGAAGTCTTTCATTGGACAGTTTTGTCTTTCGATAGTTCGGTCTTGTTTCCAAAGCCACGTTCTCAAAGATCAGATTCATATTATGGCTTATCGGTATTCTGTGGCGGTGCACGCATTCCTATGTATGTAACAGGTCGTAAAATAGGGCAGATGAAGAAAGAGAGCAAACTCGGTGTTTGATGATAAATTCGAGGCTGATTCTTGTTCTCTGTAGATTTCTTTTTGTATCCACTTCTCCAGAATTCCAAACATAGCCTTGACCTAGGATGTGTTGTGTAAATGCTTTCCTCTTTTGGCTATAATCCACAGTTGGAGGGGCTTCAGCTCGGCCTATCTTCCACGGGCGTTTGATTCCTTGCTTGTTCTGTCTGTATTCTTCTATCCATGACTGATTTTTCGTCTATTTTAAGAAAAGCTTCTTGTTATGGCGTCTGTATATGTCCATTTTTGCTGTCTTAAATTTCTTTGTGGCATTTGGTGGCCCTGAAACTAGTGGAGCGACGGAGTAGGCTTATTGTGATGTTTCGCTGTCTGATTCTGTTTTCTGCTCATTCATTTTATGGAATTGACGGGTAATATTAATACTGAAACTGTATGATCTAAAGTCGCATGCAGGTAGTGAATTTTAAATTTGAGTTCATTAGCAGTTTCGTTATGAATTAAGAATTCCCGCGCATTTCTTTCTTTGTTAGTTTTTCCCTTTTGGCTCGACGGATCGGGTTTAATTTTTGAATGCTAAGATTGCTAAGCTGTTCAATGGTTATCTTGATGGGAGAATATTGCCGATGTGAAAAATGATCTTCTGGCAACTCTATCGCAAGGTAATCTGTTGTGCTGCAAATTAATTTTACTATTTCTTTCTTTTGAATCAGATATCATAGGCTGAAGGTGACATATGAAAAAGAAAAGGAAGTAAAAGAAAAGACAACATATTGGGGACGGCTGCTGTGGACTATAGCAGGTTTGATGTGGTTGATGATATTGAATTCCTCTTAAATTTGAAGTTAAATAAACAAATACAGTTCTTAAGAAGTCAATTTGATGATCAATTTTTAACAAGGACGAACAACTTTGACAACAAATTCTTAGAAGGCCCCTTTTAGCTAGTTAATTGAGAATTGGTACCTTAATTTTGCATTCTGAAGCTTTTAGTTCTTTCTTTTCAGGAAACCAAGTTTGGTATTGTCATTTCCATCATGAGTAATCATGATGAAAGTTTTGTGTCACTTGCTCAACCCATTGGAAGATGGTCGATATTCTGTTTCGGTCTGGGGCATATGCTCAATGACATTACTGCTGCCTGCTGGTTTACGTATCTGTTACTTTTCTTGACAGATATTGGATTATCTCCGGGGTACTTATCTTTTGACACAACAATTCGCTTTGATTTGATCTGCATGCTGGAGAATTGCTGTTTTCTACTTAGTTTGTACATTTTTCACTTATGTTATATGAAATGTAGTACGTTTCCATACTCTCATCTTCTTCTATCTATTAGTTAATTATAGTGTCTTCTATTATTCTTGTATCTCCCCCATCCACGCACAGTTTTTTTCATGCCAAACATTTAGAATAGATGATTGGCTCTTTATGAGGTTTGAGGACTTTGAACTAAGTTCTTATGGCTGCTCGAAGTTAAATACAAAAATTGAGTCCACTTTGCTGTACGACATTTTCCACCCGTGTATTATGTGTTCATATTTGTCTAGGAAAATATTCGTTGTTTTGGATCTTTTACAGGAGTTAAACTAGTGCGTAGTGAGCCTATGGAGGAAGAGAATTGCAACTTTATGTTAACATAATAATTTCTAGATTCAAAGGTCACAAACAACCATCAACATACATTTCTTGACATTGGTAATGCAACGAATGAATTTATGTGATGTTGGTAAATTTGGCTGGAAAGATGTCCTTGTTGGTCAACCTTTCATTTCATGCTGACCAACTTTCATGATCAAGGTTTTCCAAAAATTAGTAACAACACTTTGGATTCAATTATAGTCTTTTAAGGATTGGGTGAATTTACTTCTAATAATACATAGGTGTCCTCGAGTTTTGCTTTCCCCCTCCAATTCTGTTTTTTTCATTATTATTCCGTTGAGGACCTCTCATACTTATTGTAAATCTATCATATCATTAATTTTTTAGGAATGCTGCTACAGTTATGCTTTCGGGTCAAGTAGCTGATGGGTTAACAACAATTGTTGCTGGTGAATTGGTATGCCATAGCTCACCATATTTTATATGTATACTATTGTTTGCTGCATCATTTGAACTCGGGACAGCTATGGTCCATTTCTTTCACGCGTTTCCACTTATCTCTGTTGGCATATTTGTTTTCCCTTTCTAAATATAATCTTTTTTGTTTGTTATGACTTGGAGGATTGAGATTATAGTTGTTGCAGATACAGTATGGATCAAGTTTTATTAATTATTCTGAATGATTGTTACTTCTTGTCTTCACTTATAATATAGTTTTTATTATTTATGCTGAACTGTGTCTTTTATTTCAAATATTCAAGTTTCGAATATGTTGAGAGACAATCATTATTTTTTCACACTCCCCAATATCAGTATACACTCCTTTTCTTTTCTTTCCTTTTATTTTATATTTATCTTGAGGCAGAAAATATCCGTTTCACTTAATACCAAACCGATAAACCCCCAAGTCCATACTCACCATATTTGTTTCTTGTGGTGCCCATGAGAGAATAAGATGTAAATATTTTTCAAGCATTTAAATTCCAATGAAGTTTGGCTGTTAAACTGAAGTTTGTGAGTGCTTAATGAGGTGATCTTGATTGTGCTGTTGAGCTATTTGTGGTTTATTACTACTCAGGATCAGGCGTTTATTACCTAGTAATTCAAAACAACAGTTCTGTCCTTTTTATCACACACAGCTTCAATAATTTAATTTCCTTCTTTATATGATAGATAGACCGGTTCGGACGTTTCAAAATATGGCATGGTGCAGGATCTATGTTGGTGGCAGTTTCATTTTCTTCTGTTTTTGGTGGTTGCATACCGTGCATATTCTATTCTCGAAGTTCATCAACATTGCGAACTGTAGGCTACAGCTTTTTTGCGGCAATCTTTAATGTTGGTTGGGCAGCCACTCAGGTTTCACATATGTATGGACCGACCCTTTTTAATTTGACCTTTTCAATTAAAATATATTTACCCAGAAAAAGGGTGAGGAACACTAGATATCATGGTTGGTCATCTCTCTATTTTCTTGAGTTTACTATGTTTTCTGTCTTGAGAAAATTACTGGACAGCGATTCTTAAATATGAAAAACGATTTTTAACAATTCTTTCATAGGTTTCTTGGAAATGTTTCTTTGGGTAGCACTTTTTAAAGTTTAGGTGAACAATGCTAGTTGGTGTCGTTAAGAAGCCGCTGCTCATTCAGTATCTATAGTTACCCCCTATTTTTACTTCAAAAGTTCTTGGTCTTTTCAGCCCAGAAGATAAAAAGTTAAAAGAAAAAACGAAAGGAAGTTCTCAGCTCTGGCATTGGTTGTGCGCAGGTCTATGATAAATTGTATGACACTGAATTCAACCAGTAGAGTGGCATTGGCTAGTTGCCGCAATGCTTTTAATATGGTAGGGCCCTGACTTCTCATTGTTTTGATGTATTTTGTGCACTTCTCTGTATGAGTTTATCTTAGATGTTGAACTGAGTTCTTCTTTTGTAGGTTGCAAATCTTAGCCTGTATGCAGTGGCTTTGTTAGTGTTTAGTATCTCGAAGGCAAAATCTCATGTAGATATTGAACATCAGGTAATGTAATCTTACGAGGTCATTCTCTTTTAAAAAACTTCCTTCAAGCCTGTTATCGGTGCTCTTTCACGTGTGCAGTACCGAATGATAGCATATATTTCAATTTTCATTGGCTGCTGCTTTGTGGTCGTATTTCTAGTTGGGACCAAGGAGCCAAGGTATGCCAAAGAGTTTAATTGATCTTTGTTTATTTTTCTCCTTAATATTTGCATACGCATGTCTTGCTAACATTGCCCTTGGTGATGAGAAACCTGCCTCTATTTCCATAGACCTAAATTTTTCAAACTACCTTTTTTTCCATGATGAGATGAATTGATGTTGTGGTCAGAAAAAAGAAAAATGCAGACCTTGTGATAATTTGCTATTTCGTAGTTGTCAATATTGTAATATAGGTGAACATTTGGTTAAAATAGTCCTTTCTTTGTTTACTAAGACTTCCAGCTTTATTTGTATGCGTTCAAAATATTTTTAGTTGGCTAAGGAACTTACTGATGCTTGGTCAACAAATAGTTTGAAGGTTGCTGTACATGGAAATCGGCATGCAAGGATTTCGTGGTCATATTGGTTCAAGAAAGTTTTATATTATCAAGTTGCTCTTGCTTACGTACTTACGAGACTGATTATCAATGTTTCACAGGTAATCAGACTTTCTTTATTCCTTAACTGCACTTACATTTTTCAATGAACAAAGAGGAAAGGAAAATTTAGTCATCCTTCATAACAAATATAAAGCCCTCAGTTATGTCAAATCTTTATGGTTGCTGTTGGCATGTGGATTATTTTCAACTTTATATCAAATTCAGTAAACTAAGAGATCTATGGCAACTGAAAATCTTATAATTTTAGAAATTCAGTATTCAATTAGAACCCCATTGGCTTTTTTTATTTATTTATTATTATTTTTTTTTTTTCCTTTTCCAATTCCATTGTTGTGTTCTTCCAAGGATTGATGAGGGTAAGGTCAGATAAATATATGCGTTTTAACTCGGCTTAAATCTTAATGGGATGTAGGGAAAGTAGCAACTTGTACATGTCATAACTTACTTTAGCATCTTCACAATTTCTAAATTGAAAATTGATTTTCTTAAATTGCAACCGATAATACATGCAGCTTTTAACTACTTTTTTTTTTTGGAAAAATGCTCAGGCATTTCTGGCATATTATGTTATTAACGATCTGCATATGGCGCAGTCAGCTACAGCTTTGGTACTGCATGACTTTTCCTGCCATCAAATTTCTTCAAATTGTTAAGGCTTATACACTCAATGTGAAATTTTTTCTTGTTGATTGGTTAGGTTCCTGCAATAATCTACGTCTTCAGCTTCATCGTATCTGTAACTCTTCAGGTCCTCTTTCGATACCAAGCTTATATATTATTGCATAAAGATTAGTTCCGGTTTCTATATTATGTTTACCTTTTAAGTTCATATTATAGGAGGTTGTTTGGACTGGCCAACGCCTGAAGCTCTACTATTCTGCTGGAGGCATTATCTGGATGTTTTGTGGTGCGGTGATTCTCATTTTACCCACAAGCATGAGTGCTTTTATGTACGTCGTGTCCTTTGTTATTGGTGTAGCAAATGCTTTAATGGTGGTATGTCTAAATTCGTATGCCTTATATTCATGCATCATTCTTTCCATTAATCTCTTTGGTGCTTACGACATATGAAGAGGAATTTTCTTACGAGCAACAATTTATTTTATCGAGGAGCCAGAATAAATGATAAAGCACTTGTTCATACATATATATTAAAGTCCTAATTAGTAAGCGGTGGGATAGTTAAATTTTCGACTAATTGCTTAAAAAGAAAGTGATGTATGTGAGTTCTTTCTTTAGTCTTTGCAATGGTTGAATGATATTGGAATAACAGAGTACCTGTGAGTTTGAGTGTTGGAAAGGAGGGAAAATAGCGGGTAAATATTCCAAGTAGTTTAGAAGTTAAAAACAACTCAAATTACTGGGAAGCTTATGAAAAACCAGCGGAGATGAATGAATTAGATTAAAGTAAACATAAAGAAAGAAATAAATCAGGTAAACTATGTAATTCCGGTTTGGTTTTCCCGTTGAGGCCATGAGAATGAAGGTAGCATAAAAATCCTTTATGCAGTGAGCGAAAGTCTAATAGATCAATGTTGCATGTAGTTTGAAGTTGATTTGGGAAGGTGACGGTCCTCAATTGTCACTGCATGAACACCTTGAGGCAAGTTATGTTTTGGAGATGGAGTAATGACAGGACAGTTATAAGGGGTATTCTACTAGTCATAGATAGAGTGAATATTCGGAAACTAGGCCGAAGAGTTCGAAGTTGAAAGAATGGTTGAATTCTCAAAATTTTCTGGTTCCTCTGTAATCTTTTATTTATGTCAATATTATCATCAGTTTGTCTTTAGAATCTACCCTGTTAAGTGGGAACAGTGTAAATGTTGATGCTGCCAAAATGTGTTTAAGATCTATTACAGAATTAGATCATGCACGAATAATTTTTCACAGCCTTTTGATGATGGTGAATTATTTGAACTTTTACTCGACAGGTGACTGGAGTAAGCATGCAAACTGTTCTAGTTGGAAGGGATCTGAATGGCTGTGCATTTGTGTGCGGTTCATTGAGCTTCCTTGACAAAATTCTATGTGGGCTGGCACTATACTTTCTGGAATCATTTCAGAGTGAGTTTTTCTTGCACAAACTTCGAACTCCAAATTATACGTTTGGCTCCACACAATGTAATATCTCATGCCATATGTAGGTAACACCGCGTTACACATTTCGAAATACAATCCTCTCAATTCCACCTATATTTCGGTTACGAGATATGGTTTAGGACTTGTGCCAGCAGTTTGTGCATTCCTTGGAGTAGCAGTTACAATGAGCATGGACCTTCATGCCCCTTACGCCAAATACCTGATCGAATCGCTACTGGAATAATGGTAGAAACGTCAGCCTTCAATCGGAAGATCTGTAAATAGACCAATTCCATTCCACTAATGTCATCATCAATTCAACAACATTCCTTTCGTGATCAAGGTGATCATTCCACTGGTATATATCACAGGTATCGAATTATCATTATGTTCAAGGAGTTACTAGTCCAGTTTATGGATTGTTCATCTGCTCGTCCCCAAGGGCCTTCTAAGCCTAGCTTTAATTTTTACTTGATAATACTAATTGTTTATCATTTGTTCAAAGAGCTACTCATCCAGCATATTTCAGATTGGCTTTGGGAGGAAACAATTTCATGAACTATTCATAAGGACAATCTGGGTTGATTTGTAGCGTTGAACACTATCTAGTAAGCAACAGAAACTGTATGTTTTATCTTTTATCCCTTATTCTATTTCAACATTATAACTATAAGCATTTGTCTAGTCTTTCATGTGTTGCCAACATCGATTTTGATGACATTATGGGAAAATATGTTGAATTTTGATGGATCTATTCAAATATGTTCTAGGGGATGATGAGTAAAATCTCTATATATATATTTTATAATAATTATTATTTTATCTTGTAGAATGGGTAGAATGGGTTAAAACATATCTTGTAGTTCATCTCGATGTTGTTGATGAAGTTGTAATGAACATTTTTCTCTTCATTGTGAATTATAGAAATGATTTTTTTGTTGGCTTCTTCAGCTGGTGTTTATCGCCACCTTTTATCAAACTTCTCAAAAAATTTCCGACCACTTTTTTCAGCTTCACTCCTTGTAGTCCATCTCGATGTTGTTTCTTCACAATTTGAAGATTTTTGTTCATCTCTTCTTTACTAAAGTGTTGGCCAAGTGAGTTCCTTCCTCGGCTGCCCTCGTCTTCTCCTAACCTCGTCTCTGCTTTCTCTTCTTCATTCATGAGTTGCTTCAAGCTTTTATGTTCATTGTTCTCGAACCCTTTTGTTGTAGGACTCCCAAATTGATCTCTATTATCGACATTAAGATCTTCATTATTCGGTGTGAGATTTTGAAGCTCATCCTGAATTTTGGCTGGCTTTCTTGTTCTCTTTGACATGGAGATATCATAATAGTGTTTATGAGAAATGCTCTCACTCTCCATTGCCTCACAAATGGAAAGGCCATAGTCCATGTGTTACATGCCCTTCTATATATATGTACAAAAGATTGCTTAGCGAACAATGAAGGTGGTAGTTTTAAAGGCATTTCAAAAGGTGCAAAGTCTTTGTTTTTTAGATTGTTTGCTCTTTACAGCTGAGGAAAAAAATGGTCAGAAGTCAGCTGAAAATTTGGAAAAGGGTTGTGGGTTGGTGTTGTTTTTAAAGTATTACCAAACATCTTTTCATTCAAATGAATTGAGTAGTAATGATGTTGCCCTTTGCTTGCTTCAACTGGGTTTCATAAATTTCTTCTTTTGTTGTGTTTTCTTAGATCCCCAATTTAATTAGGTGAATGTTGAATTTTTATTTATATATATCTTGTTTTTTAATCTCAAGTTATCCCCCTCGAGACAAATACTTATTTTAAAGTTCTGTGGATTGATTAAGAATCGAACTAAGAACTACAGAAGGTATAGTTTCTCAAATACTACGCCAATGGATGTGAACATGATTGATGGTGCAAAGTGAAAAATGAGGATGGAGAAATAAAAATATTTGCCTACGTATTGGTAAAAACGAGTATCTATTGATTTTTGTGTTAGGCTAGTATTGTTCGTAGAAAAAATGTTCAAAATAATATTTTAGTTTATATACTTTGGTTTCAAATGTTAACTTAATCGATATTTGACATAAAATAATTGATGATTCCATCTCTACTTATTTTACTAGAAGTTATTTTTATGTGACACTAAGGATGATACATAAATGAACTAAGAGAACATTTGAATAAGAGTAATTTTAAGGAAAGAAGATTAAGAAATACTTAAAAGAATTGAAAGTCACGATTTATACCAATAAGATATACACCTTCCTTTTTGGTGGCTCAATCACAAAAATTCCGTAGTTAAGAATACTTTACTTGAAACAATTCTATGTTGAGTGACATTCTCGAAATGTTCTTCGATGAATATGAGATAAAATATACTAGAAGGACTCGTGTTGATTTATTGGGATGGTCTTTGCTCTTAAGAAGCGAGAAGTAAGTAACGTAATCCTGTTGTAGGAAAATGTCGGGGCCATCGGATGCCGAATATAGATCTCGAATTTGATCCAAATCATGCTATTAGGTGGGAAGTGTGTTTTACCTCTATTATACCTACCCCTCCACCACTAAGCTTTTTCAGGAAAGAAAAGCAAGTGAAGTAGTTTGTTTGTTTTATATCCCCTTTTTTGTTTGCATTGCAGGTTATTTATCAGGGCCGTGTGAGTTTTCAAAGCAAGTTAGTGCTGGTCCATTCCATTGGCAGAGCATTCTTAAAGCACACGCAACCTTGAATTCCTTAAGCTGATTCCATCTCGGACAACAACAGGGCATAAGAACAATAATGGTCTACTGATTTAAGTACACTGAGATTTCACATACTTCAAAAAGGGGAAGCGTGGCATGAACGGAATGGTTTAGTAAGAGGCTGCAAAGGAACTACTCTTGGAGGGGTTTGCATGGCAACGATCAGAGCTCATATTTGGCCCAATATTTCACCTTCTTTCTTCCTTCAATGGAGTTCATCACAATATTCTTGCCTTGAGATATTCGATCAACAAGTTAATCCGAATCTTACTCTCTTTGTAGTGGTTTCTTATCTTATCAGCTGTCCTAGTTGGTCAACAGACACGTGGAAACCAGTTCCTTGTCGGAAGATTTTGCCCTGGTTGACTTTGACTTAGTCGATGTCGTACCAGTCTTGGTCAGCGACTTGAGTCCCTTACACGATTTCATGTGTGAATGCATCTTCTCTGGCTTGAAACTCTTCCCACATAGCCTGCATTGACTTATTGGCGTTGACAAACAAAAGAAAATTCAAACCCATTTTCATCAAAATCAAATCTATCAAACTTACGAGCAATTCGGTCCTGCCATCGGCTTGTGAGTCATCGCCACCTTTCCCCTGCCGCTCTCTTTCTGCCTCTTCTTCCTTGAATCATCCAAAGTTTTCCTGTGAGATAAAATTTTTAGCCAATATTCTTTTTTGCATTTTCTTTCTCCTGTTATTTGTGTTTCATCTAGATCGAGTGTGTGTTGTTGTGCGATCCTAACAATTGTGATCAATGTCATGCCCTAAACTTAGTTATGCTAGTAGAATTCTCAAATGTCGAACAAAGAATTGTGGCCTCGAAAGTGTAGTCAAAAGTGACTAAAGTGTCGATCAAATGATGTATTTTGTTTGAGGGCTCCAGAGAAAGAGTGGGGAGGATGTTCGAGGGCTCCATAGGTCTCAAGGGAGGCTCTATGTTGTACTTTGTTCGAACGGAGAATTGCTGGGAGGGAGTCCCACCTAGATTAATTTAGGGAATCATTATGGGTTTTTAAGTAAAAAAAATACATCTTCACTGATATGAGATCTTTTAAGGAAGGCCAAAGCAAAACCATGATACTTTATGCTCAAAGTGAACAATATTTTACCATTGTGGAGATTTGTAATTCCTAACAATTATAACTTAAAGTTTATAAATTACCGAGAATTTTGTTGGCTGTGTTGGCGGGAGAGCTCAAGGTTCCCATCCCAAGAATTTCGTTGAACTCGGGCTGAGCCACCCATCTCATTGTCTCTACAAAACACGACATCGTTTTTGGGTTTTTTCGACAATGAATCTTTGGGCGATGGATTCTTGATCAAAATGGAGTCGTCTGTATCTATCGCCCCACACGTAATCCATTGACGAAGCATGGTAGAAGCTCCACTTGAGTAGCTCTTGCTCTTTGTAAATGCATGTTGCTCCGATGACGATGCTGATGACGACGAAGCTGATGAAACTGTTGACATGGGTCCACCTATTCAAAGATTTCAAAACAATATTAACATTTTAAAGGGTTTATCATGAATTTATAAGTAAATACATATTCAAAAGGAACAATATCATACTAAAAATCATTACCTTCCTTCTGCATGCTATGTTCTCCAATTCCCTTTTTGGCTACCTCCAAGTTCTTAGCCTGTTCTTCAACCTTCATGGAATCTCCATCGTCGGTCACCGTGGATCGCTCCGAATCTTCATAAGCATCCAAATCCTTTCTGTTCGAGGAGGAAGAACAGAGGCGAGAATTATCTGTGGAAAAGATATGAACATGAAGAAAATGGGAAGAAAAAAAAAAAAGAAAAAACAAAAGGGTCACGAGTAGGAATTACCAAATAGAGAAGTGGGATATAATTGGGATCCTTGAAGAACATATTCGTTGTCAGAAATTGGAGTTATGAGATCGTCATCCACCAGATCTTGCCAAACGTACCCTGCTCTGTACTTTCTGCATTTTCTCACTCCAATTAATTCTCCTCTCTCTCATATTATTTAAAAGAAAAATTGACTTGCCTTTTGTATGACCACGCGAACGCTTTCGGCATCGCCTTCCCTCTCAATTCCCCTAGCCATCTCTTTACGTCTTCACCTCACAAAATAAATAAAACTCATTTCGTTAATGAATGGTTAGAAATTACCAATATTGTTCACTTTGAGCTAGTGAATGAATCGTAATTAGCCAACACTATATATATAGTTCCAATGTGAGCTAACTATTCCAATGTAGTACTCTCTCCTAACAATCCTCGATAATTCGGATACCCTCTCCCTTAATAGAGGATCAACTCCTTTTCTAGAGTGCTCGAACAAAGTACACCATTTGTTTGACATTTGAGTCACTTTTGATTACACTTTCGAGACTCACAACTTCTTTGTTCGACATTTAAAGATTCTATTGACATGACTAAGTTAATGGCATGACTCTAATACCATAACCTAATACCATCATACTTACGTGCATCATTAACCAATAAGATTGAAGAGCGGGTACTAATAGTGGGGATTGATGCATTTCAGTTCAAGAACTTGACGTAGCAAAACCTTGGGTAAAAATAGTACTTGGTGCAGTTATTGCACTTACACTTAAATGATTTTTATATTTTTAAAATACGTAAATAGATAAATAATAGAGCAATCCCAGAAAGAAATAATAATGATTCATATAAATCACTTAATGGTAAATGCCTCACATAAATCCAACGAGTAACTAATAATCCTGTTATACATAAAAAAAAAAGTAGTTATCATGCTCTGTTCTGACCAAACATAGAGTCCTACAGTTTCATCGACTAATAAAGTTATCAAATGTATTGTAATGACTCCATAATGGTATGATATTGTTCACTCGGAACATAATCTTTAGCTTTGTTTTCTTTTTACTCAAGAAGCCTCGTGCTACATCATACCAACAATTCTTAACACAAATTAGATTGGTATGAAGAAGAAAACAAAGTTGATACCTCGAAGATAGACGCCGCCGTGACGGGGGAGATGATGAACACGGATGAGATGGGGTTGCTCCACGTGTCCCATCCGGCTAAGAAAATAAACGACATGAAGTCTTCTAATTTCTCCACCCTCCATTAACGCTGTGTTTGTAAGCTTCATCAAAATCCCAGAATGCGTTGAACAACAAAAGGAAAAGTGTCAGCTTAAAAAAGAAAGCTCAAACACACAGAACACTCTTCTTTTCAGGCAAAACCCTGTTTGAATGGTTTGTTTATAAAACAGAACACACAAGAAAAGAGAAATCTTTGCCTGTCGGCCGGCCTGCTAATGCTACTAAAAGCCGACAACATGAGTCCTTAATTAATTACCGTTTTGGGGGTTTGAAAATATTAATTAATTACAAGAAAGAAAAAAGAAAACTTATTTATAGAGCAGGCCTAACTACTCTATTGAATAAAAATTAAAAACAAAGTTTAAAATTTATATCGAGACTCTAAAAAAGGGAAAAGAAATTACCTTCTGATTTTTGTCTCTCGCTCTTGTATTTCTGAGACATACCCTTTTCCCCACCACACTTGGCTTCTTATCTGTGTTTATGTTTACGCACAAAATATATATATAACACTCTGAGCCCACTCTTAGAAGATATTGTTTGTTTTAGCCTATTACGCATCGTCGTCAATTTCACGGTTTTAAAACATGTCTACTAGGTAGGCACATTATAAGAGAATGGAAACTTCTATTAGTAGACGCATTTTTAAATTGTAAGGGCAAATACGTAACGAACAAAAGTGGTCAATATCTACTAGTAATAGGCTTGAAATGTTACAAATGGTATCAAAGCTAGACACCAAGCAGCGTGCTAGTTGTCACGGTCATGCTCGTCTAAGGCGAGTTGCCCATGGCCGCATGCCCATGACAAGCCCAACCCTTTATGTCTTTTAATATTCTAGTATTTTACTTTTGTATTTCTAGGAAGTATGACGTTTTAGAAATATCATGTCTAGGTCTGTC